CAAGTTCCAGCAAATTTCGTGATTTTGACCCCCTACCGTAACTCCGCAAAAGCTCCTAAAACGCAAAAGGAGTGTGATATTTGTAATCTGCATGTCGAATAACCCCCTAGACATAGTTTAAACCAAATTTACGACAAAAATTTTTGGGGCCCGGATAGCCGAATAGCGCCAGTAAACCAATCTAACGCAATCAAGAAACTCTATTGATGGAGCATTATGTGTTCCTGTGTACGAGTAGGGAATTTAGTCAATCCATGACAGTATCCCCACTTTCTGTTTATAACCCAAACACTATATTTCTTACAAGTTTCTTCTTCTTTCGCTAGCAGCAGGCGCTGACTAAGTTTTTCTAGAAGAGATCTTGCGATTTGGGATAGAGATGAATTTTCCTGGCTTCTCTTTGCATTCATGCCATTACATCACCTTAATACTTCATATCCATTAGACTTCGCAACTTTGCATGAACGTTAGGACTTGCGAAATGATCTTGCAAGACATCTCTTGTCTGGCGCGATGTTCTTTGATGCTTTCGCATTCGTAGACGTCAGACTTGCAAAGATCGCGCTAGCATTTCGACATGTGTTATTTTAGTCTGCCGTTGCGTAATGTCTGGACCGGGAGAGCGTTTCCACGTTTTGGCACAACTGGACCATCTGCATTCTAAATACACAGGGACAGGGCATGCCGATACAACTCGTTACGAGTGGATGACGAATCAGCTGCGAGACACACGAGCTTCTCAGGTAATACTTTCGTAAATGTTTCGTTCTCATGTATGCGCATATAAACGTTGCAGTGTGTTGCAATCTATTTACTGTCTGCTTGCGGCTGATTTTCGATCTCTTAGGCTCTCCGGCGCGCTATTTTTGTTTACGCTTTCAGCAGCCGTATGGAATTGATTCTGGGCGGGGTAGCGATCGTTGATCCTCTATATTCGTAGCGTCCAACTGCTAGGTTTTTTCGTATATGCAGTGTCACTTATACTCCGGTAATGTTTCCAGATGAGCCATCCTGGTATGACGTCGTTTATCGCCATTGTTGAAAATGAGTCTCGCGCCAGAACGCGGTACAACCTTTTGAATCGTATGATACTTCCATGTGGTCCACCACCAGAAAAGTCTCCTCTGGATGATTGATTGATCTCCTTTCCATGCTTCTTTTCTATTGAGATAAACTCATTTTCATTTCGTGTTACTTCTATATCTTGAGGTTGTCATCCTATATGTTTGAATAGTGGTTTGCTTCTGCAGTTTGAAGGAATTTCATTATTCTGGGGTTTTATTTTGCAGATAGGACACGATTTGTTATCGTATGCATGTATGTTTTACGAGCACTTTCC